TTAAGGAGAACATTGCTAATCCATATTTCGATGAATTGGGTTTACCCTCTCGGTTATTTAAATACTCCTAAAAAGGTCACCTTTCTTCTAGAGATTAAGTGACATCAATTATCTCCTGCCTGGTCTGGTTTATTTTTATACCCTTCTTAAATTTTCACATACAAAACACCTGATGGTGTTCTTGGAAAAGCAACCTTTATACGCAGGTCAAATAATTATCTTCGATATTTTCTTTCAAGATTTTACATAAATGTGCCTTTTTTCTCCGATTCCCGAGATATTTTTGTTCCTTTTCTTTTTCTGTGTTCCCTTTTCGTTATAACATCTTACGTCTCCGTTTTTGTGTTTATTGGGCCTTCATGATCACTTTGTATAATTTTATCGGTGAACGAGTCAAGTCGTCCTGTGGAATTTTCAAAACGGAACTTTGCTTACAATTTCTTTTATTTTTCCCATAAATAGTTCCTTTAAAAGATTTTTTTTACCATTACTCTACAAGCAATGCAATGCCTCATTGATTGTGACTTGCCATACATAATCTCATATGTCGAGATATTTTGTACAAAACCGGCTACGATGTCTGTAGCTTTCCGAAAATTTCGGATCCGTATTCGCAAGCAGGAATGAAAACAACATGCATGTTCGCTGAAGTTGACTTGCCATCAGCTTATCCTGCTGTTATTCCTTCACAGTTAATGCACCACCGGAAACACCATTGTCTGTGAAAGGGCAGTGACGTTTAATAGGCGTTGGCATGACTCTATGACCTTATTCATTTGGAAGTCGGTTATTTCAATTTAAGATTTTATTTCAGTTATTGTATCAAACTGGTACAATTAGCAGTAAGATTTGTTTGTTTTTGTTTTCAACCTTTAATATTGACACCGGAAGTGACGTGTTCATAGTTCTAAATGGAAACAATTTTGCTAATAACAGGATAAGAAACCGTATCTATTACACACCATTAAAGAACTGTTAACCCGACTGTCGCCTTCCCAAACAAAGCTAGGCCCAATTTTGATAGGCACTGCTGGTTGACCTTTTTGTTTGATTGTTTTGTTAAGTATGTACCGTCAATGTTCGTTATGATTATATATGACAGATTTCGTGTTTTACTAATGCTGAAATTTATTACTTCTAAGGTTATCCGAAATATTTACCGATATCACCTTATATCTATAACTGGAGATTTATTTTTGTTAACAAAAACATATGTCTACCATTATTAAACAATAGAGTAACTGCCTACTAATTAATTATTAAATGCATATATATACATACATGTATATTAAATGTATATATGGTTCCAAAATAGAAATTAGATCAGACATTAACTGTAATTCTAAGAATGTTATTTACTCTTTAATAAGTAAACAATGTGGTGAATTTTATATCGGACAGACCGGATGTGAATTGAGAATACGAATGAATGTACATAGACAACAAATGAAGGACAATGAACTAAGATTTTTAAAAGTTAGCAAACATATGCATCGATGTTCTAAAGATGATTTTCATGTGTTACCTATTTACAAACTGAATAGCGACGATGTAGTTGCAAGAGAAATTAAAGAAAATATGTTTATAAAGGTCCTCAAACCCAGCCTGAATGCACAATGATTTTTGCAATGTATTGTATGTAGATGTTTTCTCTGTCTTGGTATTGTTTGTGACGTCACTATGCTTGTTTATTTATGACGTCACTAAAATTGTTGACTATACAAATATTGATGACGTCATGTAACCAACGGTGTTAAATAAACATCAATCCGCATGAAGAAGCCCTAGAAGGCAGAAAGGCCTAGCGGACGATCTGAAAAATTTGTTTTTATTCTATATTTTCCTTCGCAAGGACTTATTTATTTATTATCTACTTTATATATATATATAGAAAAAATAAGATTAACGACCGACTAGTCGGTCGGTAATCTTATTTTTTCTATATTTACTTCCTTCACATGGACATTTAATCCCTTTTTATTATATATATATATGCAATTACAAGCTATGGCATGGAAGGTCACAGTGCCCTAACAGTTTTCACCTTAAGCCCTTTTGTAATCACATATTTTGTTGTTTTTTTTTTAGTAATAAGTCAAATCCAATGCGGTTATCATAAACAGACTACTATAAGTTTCAACGAGAAATATAAAGATTTAAATATTTCATACGAGAGCGTCGTACGGGTGAAATATAACTGTTATTTATCAAACATCCACGAATATAATGCTCAAATATGCCCGTCAAACATTTTGACGGGACTTTTTACGGTATGGGGAGCGTCCGTATGTCCGACCATACTTTGGTTTCCGCTAGATATTTGCTTAACTATTGTTCGGTTTTGATGAAACTTGGTATGCATTTATAGCATACAAAGATTGAGGCTAAGTTCGAACTTGAACAAAATTGTGTAAGCATACTGTGATCTGTTTAGTTTACGGTTTCTGCACAATAACGTAGTCAATTATGACAGGATTATGACGAGACTTTGTCTGTCAATATTATCATTTTGTCTAATAGCGAAATCTTAAACCGATTAGTGAAAAACAGAAATATTTTCGGTTTTAATTGGTGTAAGATGAATCGAATCTTGCCATAAAGGAGAAATTTCAATTTCTGTTTTTCATGATTTTAATTATGAAGCAATGGAGGTAATTACAAATGTATTTCTAAAGGTCATGTAAGGAGAATGTATGGAATGTATGTATTTCTTTAGAATAAGTTGGTCAAGTGTGTTTTTCTCTCCTTTCACCACATTCCAGGAATAGTTATTAACTTGACCTAGTAATGCCGTACAAAATGTTGTCTTCATATTTTCATACATTAAGATGCAATAATGCATCCGACGGATCTCAAGTAAGTCAGTTTGGCATTGGACGGGCGTATTTTGTTCCGCCCTGCGGGTACTCATGTTTAACGTATTTTCTTTTTCGTTTAAAGACATGCACTTCAGTTAACGAAAATTTCAATTTCTTTCCACAGAAAAAATGACGCAAGGGATCCTATTTTTGGATATCTCGAAAATGTCAAGGCTATTGTGAAGTGTTAATTGCCAATTTCGATCGCACGTTATATTTAACACCAAACCCTGATCTCTGATTGGTCAATTTATTGTGGAAATAACAAAAGTGTCAAACTTGAAGTAAAAAGAAAATCAACATAGTTTTAAAGTGAAACAACTTAAATTGTACTGGCGAAAATGTTATATTAATAACAACTGTATGTCAACAACAAAAGTAATACCACACCGATTTATAGGAACGTGTATTGGTCCATGCGACAAAATCGTGTTATCTGCGACATATTATACTGCCATAGTTTGTGTGTTTGCTCATTCATCTGAGTATCTGTGTCACCTATGTACTAAACAAGGACAGATAAGGCAGGTGTCTTTACTATGAGACCATATGTACAATCTGGACTGGATGTAGGCCTCCAACAGATAAGACACTGACCGACTTCATATCTTAAACCAATAACATGAACAATTTTAAAGTGTAACGAGACCAGGGCCCGTATTCATGAAACCGTTCTCATGCTCAAGCATGGTTTTTGTGCTCAAGCCTAATTTCTTGTTCTTGTTGTAACTTAATAAATAAATCTTGTTTTGTCAATGCTTTGGAAACATTTTGAAGAGACCTGAAGCTAACTACTGTTTCAATGTTTACATTTGACTTTTTGATTGTTTTACATGGTTTAAGCGAGTAACAAGAAAGTTTGATTGAGCACAGAATCCATGCTTGAGCATGAGAACGGTTTCATGACTACGGGCCCAGGGGTTACAAAACTGTCTCTGTAGTCACAAATAAGTCATTCTCTAAATATTCTCTTCACAAGTATATACAATGTTTTTTTGGGTCAAAGTTCATATTAAGGGCGTGAAATGTATATTAACCTATAACAACGTTCCCAATACGATGGCAACGCTGCTATCAGATAGTTAAAGAATAAAGACACACCTTTTTCTATTGTTATGAGCGTGTGCTATCACAACTCTCAACCAACCAATGTGATAATCAACAGTGTGTTATGATGGAACACGCTTTATATACAAAATGTGGTATAAAAATAATGATAAAGATGGTTACTTTAAGGATCCCTGCTCCAATGCACCGTCTTTTTTATCTTCATATAGTTACCTATCCTTAACTTCCGCTTCAATGCAACTGTAGCACGGTTTAGCAGAGACACTAAACTTGACATGGTAGCTCAATCGGCCAAAGCGGCAGTATAACAACCTGACGTCCAGGGTTCGAATCCCGGTCTAGCTCCGCTTAATTTGCGCACTGACAAAACTGTTGCTGATTATAATTCTTGTTATTTCATCTTTGTTTTTTCATATAAAGATCCCGCAATATATGGTGGGTTTTTTTTTCAGAAAGGATTTACCAAAGCTATAGTCATGCCGGAGAAAACAGTTTCCAATACTTAGTCACAGTTTTCATTGGTTGAAAATGAAGTTGTAATATCGAGTCATAATTCGCGGAGACTTGATTTAAACATATTTCATTGCCATAATGCAACGATATTGGGCACAAGATTTCGGCAGAGACTTCCTCCATGCTGTAAACTTAAATTATCCGTAAAATATTCGTCTCCTGACATAATATGAATGTTCATATTGAAAAATAGTCCCCAGCGTAGTAGTGATTGGTTATCATATTGAAAAATATTCCCCGGCGTAGTACTGATTGGTTATCATATTGCAAAATAGTCCCCAGCGTAATAGTGATTGGTTATCATATTGATAAATATTCCCTAGCGCAATAGTGATTGGTTATCATGTTTCGCTATCATTCGTTATTGTTTATTTTCAAAGTTTCAAACAACACTCGGAAAATCTTGTGTCTTTACAACTTGAAAGTTATATATTCTAGTTAGATTAACATGATGACCAACCGCGCTTTGATGAAGAACGACTATTGTAGTGATGGAAGAAACACATTTACATTTATATATAGTTATCATGTCATTTCGTGGGACCATTCCGTATCTTACAGAAGGCCGTCTCAGGTGAAGAGCTGATTATCAACTAGTCCAACAACACTCGAGGATTCAGCATGACGTGTGTCGATTACGTTATTCGAGGGGGTCGCGTGATCGATCCTAAAAACGAAATCGACATTATTGGAGATGTAGCAATACATCAGGGACTAATTCATTCCGTCGGAGAGGGGTTGAAGGTTACAGGGAAGGAAGAATTCAACGCCGAGGGTTGCCTGGTAACACCTGGTCTTATTGATGGTCACGTGCACTGTTACCAGTATGCTACGCCCCTTGGGATAAACCCGGATGAAAGATGTCTGTCAAGAGGAGTGACAACAGTTGTGGATGCCGGAAGCGCAGGCATGTTCATAAACAATATTTATGTATTTCATTGGGTTAAAGATATTGGTAATACATCTCATAGCTGACAAACCTTATGTTTGCCTTGGTTTTGTTTAACGCCCTATTAACAGCTTTGGTCATTCAAGTACGTGCCTCCATGTGTGTAACTTGTATGTTTGCTTGCGTGTGTGTATGCAGGAGACAGGGTATGTTGGTGTGTTCACCTCCTTGTGATAGCGCGGATCTGATGCCGACTTTATAGTGCTATCTCACTGAAATGCAACGCCGTAGGCACCCAGCACAGCATTACGCCCAGTAACATTATACTGACAACGGGTGAACCAGTTGTTGTCATTCCCCTTAATGCTGAACGTAAAGCATAGAACCCTGGCATATCCTTTAAGAACTGAAGAAGACGAAGGTTACATCATGTCACATTGATATATTACATTGGTCAAAATAATGGCTTTGGTTTTGATGGGCTTTAAGTCGTGTCAAGATTGTCCTTTTTGTGTGAAATTAAGCTTTAAAGCTGTCCTTTAAAGTTGCACTATATTATGTGGACACCAAATTCATATGACACAAGCTGTTTCAAGGACACAAAACTCTTACTATCCAAACAAACAATTTTTACCTGTTTTAGAAAAGGCTTCAAACAAATATAATCGATAAAAAACAATTAATGTATTTCATTTCGTTTTCTCCAAATTAGTATTACAACATCTCCTGATGCAATGAAAACTGCATTCGCCATTGCCATATATTCACAACTCTGTGGCATTGCTCCATATAGCTTATCTTAATTCAAATAACATTCATATCAACACGAATTTGTCATTTCCTGTTGTCATTCATAGTGTCTTAAGTGTTCCATTACATATTGGACATTTTTTGCCATAACGACCACAAATGTAAATCAATTGTGTTCGTATATTTTTAGGATCGTCCACCTTCCTCGGTTTGCGCAAGTTCATAGCGGAGCGTAGTGAAACTAGAGTCCTTTGTTTCCTGCATATTGCGGCACATGGATTAGCGGCTGCTGGTTGCGCCTCTGGAGGTAAGCAAGTTTTTTTGTGTTTATTCCACTATATTAATCGTCTATTAGGTTGCACGGAAGTCTAGGGGTAGGACGCCGGGACCGTGACAGAAGGGTTGCGGGTTCGAGTCACGGCACGGCACTGTGTTGTATCTTTGAGCAAGATACTTTACTCCGCTTGTTCCAGTCTACTCAGCTCTAATTAAGTAGGTGGTTGGGCAGTGCTAGAATTGATGAATGATAGCTGTTAGCGCCGAAATGGCAGCACCGGCTGTATGCTCCCAAGGGAGTTGAGAAAGATATTGGCTAGTTGCAAAGGCCCTATTACCACGGATAATAATTTGTGAACCGCTTTGAGACGAGCTACGAACTAGGTTATGATAAATTATATTTGTATCATATAAACAGTGGTGAGTGCACAAATTCAAAGTATTACCAATAAGAAGCAAAGTCTTTCAAAGCAAAACAATCCTCAAAACACATCAAACTAATTTATCTTAATCGGTATAAAGCAATAAAATGATATTAGATGTACAGTATTTTGTATAGTTTTTTTGTTTTTTTCCAAATTTGATCTTCTCAGCAACCGGGTCCAGGTATTTTGAAAACAAAAATAGAAAAACAATTTTAAATAGGAAATTCGAGAAGAATGGCGAAACTGATTCAAAAAGACCTATTTACGAGAAGTTTTATTCAGAAACGGCCATAAACATATATTTAATGACAGTTCAAAGCATAACCCTGTCACAGTTACACCAGACTCGAGCATAAGGCAATATATTCAGAACTGAACAAAGTTAACCAAAGCCAAAATAACTAAACAGCTTTGTTGTTGTTCCAACACCATTCGATACTTACTTTTTCAAATGAATCCGATTTAGGCTAACACGATTTTTCCTTGAAGTTATCCCACAAAACCGATATTTTCTTCTCCGTAAGTTTATAACAGAGACCTAACAATTATAGGGTATCGCCATTACTTCCCGCTTTATACTAAATTCAACCTCAGAAATTAGAGCAGCGATTTTCAGCATATCAACCTAACTATTCGCAGGTCATCCTGTTCCATTGCGGAGGAACCATGTCTGGTCACACGAAATGAGTACTAGAAAGCCATCCTCAACTGTGAAACAGTTGACAATTTACCTGTATATATCTTACTTTTCAATCCACCGGCTTTTTATATGTGTACACTCGCTGATGATATTCGCCCAACTACATTTAACACGACTCATAACGCAGAGACGTATATATTACAGTGATAGGCAACTTGCTCTTTTCCTTACGATTGGTCACGGTAACTGGATGTCATATCGCGAGCTACGCTTCACCTGCGCAATATTGGATATACGGTTCGCTGCATTCAATAATATTTAGTTCAGAACGTAATTATGCCGTGAGAAAACATCGAAAATTTAAACCCGTAACTAGCTCAGATTTCCACGCGGTTGGGGAGTGCTCCGTTGAATGCTAGATTTCCATGCGGTTGGCGAGTGCTCCGTTGAATTCTATTTTTGTAATTCAGTTAGGAACCTGAATTTGAAAGATTGCAAATAAAAGATCGTGGCTGTGTATTCATATCAGATATGATTCTAGCTGGAGGAGAACAGGTACTACTTTTCTGTTCTTGAGACAATTTCAAGGTAGAATTCAGATATTTTTTATTTGATAATATTTCTAAGCAGCTTCTTAAAGGGACAATTAAGTGAACTAAGTTTTTTTTAGGTCACCTGAGCCTTGCTCAAGTGACCTATTCCGATCACTTTCCGTCCGTCGTCGTCCGTCGTGCGTAAACTTTTTACATTTTCAAGAACCAGTGAATGGAATTTTTTCAAACTTGGTCAGAATCATCCTTGGTAGATGAGGCTACAAAACTGTAAAATTGGGATTCCTACCCCAACCCCTGGGGCCAGGGTGGGGCCCCAAAGGGAAAATTAACATTTTTGGTATGTGTTGCAGGATTGACCTTTGTCGCATGACAATTGCGTTACACTCTCCCATAGTGTTAAGATCCGGTAATATCTTTGTCATAAATTCCCCATGAATTAGGTTGCAGACTGCACTCATATCTCCCTGTTGGCTTTTGTACGATAAGACAGGCAGTTTTAGACGTTTTGTGGTCTTAAGATATGAAAAACCTTAAGTCCGGGTCAAGTTGACCGGCTTCCTTTTGAATTTTGTATGGACACCTAATAGCAATCGTGAAGCCAAGATGTCTTCAAAGTAAAGACGTGCAAATAACCTAAACTCAGCCAACAGATTTATGGTCTTTTAAAGACAGGTTATCTCTTTTGGCATTTTGTAATCTACAAATGTAAGTTTGGAAAATTGAAATCGCCCATTATCAATACTGAGTATATGAGAGGACTACTCGCATAAGAACATATGCAGTGTGTTTGGCCATTTAGCGAGTTGGCAGTAACAGTGTGTTTCAGCAAGTTCGTTTTATATCGTTGTTTGTTTTTATTAAGGAGGCAGTATTTTTCGAAGTGAGGTCCATGGGTATCAAGGAGATATTTTCGTGGATTTTGTCCGGGGGCTGGATCGGTTTTAGGTGTCAAGCCACACCCGTATACATTTTGTGTTGTCCTTACATTTTCCTCCCATGTCTCATGGCTCTGGTTCCTGTCACAGCGTTGCTAAGTTCAACAATGTTCTGTTTTGTATTTCCTGTACATTTAGCGCTTGATATTGTCGCCATTCTGGGTCTTTTATCAGTAACCATGATTAATTCACCTTGCTTACCACTTCCAACAGAACACTTCTGTAAATCTTACATTTCCTCTCCTGATTCCACAACATTTGCGGGATGTTCCCTACCCCAACATTGTAGTAGTTAAGGAATGCTTTTAATGAAGATTTGTTTTGGTTTGTTTGTGTTTTACGTCATATCAACAGCTATGGTAATTTAGGACGTGCACTATTTATGTGGTGGGGAAAAGCCGGAGTTACAGAGGAAAAACCACTGACCTACGGCCAGTACTTGGCGACTGCCCCACGTTGGTCTCGAACCCACGACCCAGTGGTGGAGGGCTAGGGGTAGCAGAATGTCAGACGCCTTAGCCACTTGACCACTGCGGCCCTTTTTTAATGAAGATAAATCGCGCAAAATTGCGTTAGTGAAAGTTACTGTCACTGGTTTGCAATAGGTGTACTTTAAAAGGAATTAACGTCAAAATAGCTTACATTATAATACGTTTAGTTCATGCACATACGTTTAAGCATATAGTGTGTCATAATTTTTCATTCTTGACGAACTTACCTCGCCACATGTAAAAATAAAACTATCTCGCGAAGTAGCTGATCGGAAGACATTAATGTTTGATATCTGACTTATTGTCAATACTATTAACTTAAAAAACTANAATTAAAAAAAAAAAAAAAAAAAAAAAATGAAAAAAGAAACGAAAAATGCTAAAGAAAAACCCCAAGAAGCTTTGATTTTATGAGGTATTTGTTCGAAAACTGTCGTTATATAATAACATATAACTTGTTTATTATTTTAGCCCCTGGCGGTGAGTCGGATTGTTTGAACCAGTTGGATGTGACGTCATGTCACGATGTTGTGGAACAAAACCGGGATATGATTGTCGGTGTGAAAGCCAGGCTGTCGGAAAGTATTACAAATAACGGCAAAAACGAGCAGGAGGTCTACAGGTAAGACCCGAGCTACTCACAGGATTTCATCATACGAAAGCCTGCATAACAACATGAAAGTATATCACCGTGTATTCGTGTTAAACTTATTTCCCCAATTAAAGTTACACGAATATCCTTTCCAAAAAACGTCTACGCTATAAGATTTTGTGCAGTTTGGTAGCTTGTGTTATGAACAGCTCGAGTCATAAAAAGACGATCCAAGATTTGGTGGTGGAGGAAAACCGGGGTACCCGGAGAAAAAACACCGACCTGCGGTTAAAAATTACTGTCGACTGTCCCACATACTTTGAGAGTCCTATAACGCGTTCTTTATAAATGTTTTGCTCGCTTTGAACAAGATGATTAATTAATGACGTTTAATACTTTTGAAATTCTGATTCACTAAATAGTGCTTATAAAAATATTTCAGATTAAGTTACGACTATTAAATGCAAAGTAGCATGTAACCTCATTTCAACCATGACATTACAGTGGTTCAAAATAGCCATTCTATCATGTAGCTTGTTTTGCAGGCGAGCCATGGAGGTAGGCCAGCTTTGTAAGGTACCGATAATGGCTCACCATACGTTATCAACTATACCTACACAGGGCCGAACAGGTAACGTCTTATTGCATAACTATTTTGAACACATGGGCCAAGGTCAGAATACGGGTCTTGTTAAGCTTAAATGATGGTCCTGTCACTATGTTGCTTCAGTTGACATATCAGTGGCCGCGAGAACTATCGTTATAACAGTATTGTCTTTAATTAGTTATATACAGTAGTCGACTCAAAAGACATGTATTACTGAATTTCTCCTCCATAAATCTCATTTAACCGTCATCTTGACCAAATGTACTGACACAATACTAAGTGAAGATCTAATACAACTTTAGCGTTAACAACATTTAACGAGTATCTTGCGTGTTTAGATTGGCATGGTTCGGTGACGTTCTCAGCGCTTTCAATTGCTACGGACCGATATTTACTTTTTAATGAACCCGAAATTACTCAAAATTTTCCCGGAAACGGAAATTTCCAATCCAGACTAACCAAACCCATGTTTATATTTATTTGTTTATTGTGAAACATTTCTTTAGTTCTCATTTGAAACATGCGTTTTGTCAGTCGCATAAAAAACAGAAACCCCTACCTGCCGTTATTATCTGATCTATAGATTTCTTTGATCTGTAGGTGACGACTGTCTTTGCTGCCCACGTGACATGGCCCCTGGTGACATTTACACACATACTTATCACGCATTCCCTAGCACTATCATCGATCCGGAAACCGGCAACATACTCGATGACGTCATCGAAGCACGAAAGAAGGGTGTGCTTTTTGAACTTGGACATGGTCAAGGATCTTTTAGCTGGACAGTTGCCGAATTGTGTGCTAGGAGATCATTCTGGCCGGATATCATAGGAACTGACCTTCATTCTGGGAATCTGGACGGTCCAGTTTACGACCTCCCACGAGTGATGACTAAATTATTACATCTAGGTATGCCTCTTTATGACGTCATTTCCGCTGTGACGGTGAATACAGCCAAAGCTATCGGAAGAGATGATCTTGGCTCTTTGTCGTCTGGTAGAGAGGCAGATGTAACAGTCATCACATTAGAGGAAATAGAACGTGATCTTGAGGATTCTCAGTCGCAGACGAGACGTGTGCGCCAATGGATTACACCTGTAGCTGTATGGAAAAAAGGAAAGCGACATGAAATTACTCAGCCGAAAGAAATTCCCAACATCGCTGCCATGAAAAGCAACGCTAAGGATTGGCCAGCTCTGGTTATCAAGGATGCCAAACCTCCGTCTGTTTTGCAGGACAAATAATGGCTTGATCTTAACAACAGCTTTATGTAAACAACAACAAATACAGCAATCAATCAAACAATCGATCAATTCAATTAAACAAAAAATAAGATTGAAAAAAGCATGATTGTCAACAACAGAAAATCAATGAAAAACGAAGACATATTCACAACTGAATTGCAGCATTATCAATAAAAGTATTCTAACCAGGAGTTATTTTAAGAGAAATAGGATTTGACAGTTTATCTATATATCTTGCCATGATCATGTGGTCTCAAATTTGTTCCGCGATAAGAAATGTTGTTCCAATATGAGGGCATCTAGCGAAAAACTACCAAAAGAAAAAAAAAACTCAATGAAAACGTGCAATTAACATTGGCTGACAATTTGACTGTATCATAATAGTAAACATGTAATATGCAGTTTATTGTAAATAAATAATCTGTTTTTGTTTTTACCTATAAGTTGGTGTACTGTTATATGTTTTCTGTTCACATTCTGTCGACGTATACAAATTTGAAATACGTTTGACAGTTTGGTTTGTTTTGTTTTAACGCAATGTCCTCTAACTAGCAATAGCCATGCATAAACATCCGCTGTTAATATTTTGTTTTATGTAAGCGTACCTCTTAGTGTTCTGTCAATTCTTATGTAAGCGTACCGGTAAGTGTTCTGTCAAGTCTTATGTAAGCGTACCGGTAAGTGTTCTGTCAAGTCTTATGTAAGCGTACCGGTAAGTGTTCTGTCAAGTCTTATGTAAGCGTACCGGTAAGTGTTCTGTCAAGTCTTATGTAAGCGTACCGGTAAGTGTTCTGTCAAGTCTTATGTAAGCGTACCGGTAAGTGTTCTGTCAAGTCTTATGTAAGCGTACCGGTAAGTGTTCTGTCAAGTCTTATGTAAGCGTACCGGTAAGTGTTCTGTCAAGTCTTATGTAAGCGTACCGGTAAGTGTTCTGTCAAGTCTTATGTAAGCGTACCGGTAAGTGTTCTGTCAAGTCTTATGTAAGCGTACCGGTAAGTGTTCTGTCAAGTCTTATGTAAGCGTACCGGTAAGTGTTCTGTCAAGTCTTATGTAAGCGTACCGGTAAGTGTTCTGTCAAGTCTTATGTAAGCGTACCGGTAAGTGTTCTGTCAAGTCTTATGTAAGCGTACCGGTAAGTGTTCTGTCAAGTCTTATGTAAGCGTACCGGTAAGTGTTCTGTCAATTCTTATGTAAGCGTACCTCTTAGTGTTCTGTCAATTCTTATGTAAGTGTATCAGTAAGTGTTCTGTCAATTCTTATGTAAGTGTATCAGTAAGTGTTCTGTCAAGTCTTCTGTAAGCTTACCGGTAAGTGTTCTATCAATTCTTATGTAAGCGTACCGGTAAGTGTTCTGTCAAGTCTTATGTAAGCGTACCTCTTAGTGTTCTGTCAAGTCTTTTGTAAGCGTACCGGTAGGTGTTCTGTCAATTATTATTTAAGCGGACCGGTAAATGTTCTGTCAAGTCTTATGTAAGCGAACCGGTAAGTGTTCTGTCAAGTCTTATGTAATCGTACCGGTAAGTGTTCTGTCAAGTATTATGTAAGCGTACCGGTAAGTGTTTTGTCAAGTCTTATGTAAGCGTCCGGGTAAGTGTTCTGTCAAGTCTAATGTAAGCGTACCGGTAAGTGTTCTGTCAAGTATTATGTAAGTGTACCGGTACGTGTTCTGTCAAGTCTTATGTAAGCGAACCGGTAAGTATTCTGTCAAGTCTTATGTAAGCGTACCAATAAGTGTTCCGTCAAGTCTTATGTAAGCGTACCGGGAAGTGTTCTGTCAAGTATTATGTAAGGGTACCGGTAAGTGTTCTGTCCAGTCTTATGTAAGCGTACCGGTAAGCGTTCTGTCAAGTCTTATGTAAGCGTGCCGGTAAGTGTTCTGTCAAGTCTTATGGAAGCGTACCGGTAAGTGTTCTGTCAAGTCTTATGTAAGCGTACCGGTTAGTGTTCTGTCAATTATTATTTAAGCGTACCGGTAAGTGTTCTGTCAAGTCTTATGTAAGCGTACCGGTAAGTGTTCTGTCAAGTCTTATGTAAGCGTACCGGTAGGTGTTCTGTCAAGTCTTCTGTAAGCTTACCGGTAAGTGTTCTGTCAAGTCTTATGTAAGCGTATCGGTAAGTGTTCTGTCAAGACTTATGTAAGCGAACCGGTAGGTGTTCTGTCAAGTCTTCTGTAAGCTTACCGGTAAGTGTTCTGTCAAGTCTTACGTAAGCGTACCTCTTAGTGTTCTGTCAAGTCTTATGTAAGCGAACCGGTAAGTATTCTGTCAAGTCTTATGTAAGCGTACCGGTAAGTGTTCTGTCAAGTCTTATGTAAGCGTACCAGTAAGTGTTCTGTCAAGTCTTATGTAAGCGTACCTCTTAGTGTTCTGTCAATTCTTATGTAAGAGTACCGGTAAGTGTTCTGTCAAGTCTTATGTAAGCGTACCGGTAAGTGTTCTGTCAAGTCTTATGTAAGCGTACCAGTAGGTGTTCTGTCAAGTCTTATGTAAGCGTACCAGTAAGTGTTCTGTCACGCATTATGTAAGCGTACCGGTAAGCGTTCTGTCAAGTCTTATGTAAGCGTATCAGTAAGTGTTCTGTCAAGTCTTATGTAAGCGTGCCGGTAAGTGTTCTGTCAAGTCTTATGTAAGCGTATCGGTAAGTGTTCTGTCAAGTCTTATGTAAGCGTACCAATAAGTGTTCCGTCAAGTCTTATGTAAGCGTACCGGTCAGTGTTCTGTCAAGTCTTATATAAGCGTACCGGTCAGTGTTCTGTCAAGTCTTATGTAAGCGTACCGGTAAGTGTTCTGTCAAGACTTATGTAAGCGAACCGGTAGGTGTTTTGTCAAGTCTTATGTAAGCGTACCGGTAAGTGTTTTGTCAAGTCTTATGCAAGCTGATGTGTGTTGATGATGATATTATGATGACAATGAAATTGAGTGTGATAATGCTAAATCCATATCCGTGTGTGTATATGTGAGAATGCTTGAATGTCCTGTTTATCTATATGTATATGTAATGAAAAACTTGGAAAAATAAAACCATTACAAAAAAAGTCTTATGCAAGCGTACCGTCAAGTGTTCTGCCAAGATTTTTGCAAGCGTACGGGTCAGTGGTATGTCAAGAGTTATGTAAGCATACCGGTAGGTGTTCTGCCAAGACTTATGTAAGCTAACGGGTCAGTGTTCTGTCAAGACTTATGTAAGCGTACCGGTAAGTGTTCTGTCAAGTCTTATGTAAGCGTACCTCTTAGTGTTCTGTCAAGTCTTTTGTAAGAGTTCCGGTAAGTGTTCTGTCAAGTCTTATGTAAGCGTACCGGTAAGTGTTTTGTCAAGTCTTTTGTAAGCGTACCAGTAAGTGTTCTGTCAAGTCTTATGTAAGCGTACGGGTCAGTGTTCTGTCAAGTCTTGTGTAAGCGTACCGGTGAGTGTTTTGTCAAGTCTTATGTAAGCGTACCGGTAAGTGTTTTGTCAAGTCTTATGCAAGCTGATGTGTGTTGATGATGATATTATGATGACAATGAAATTGAGTGTGATAATGCTAAATCCATATCCGTGTGTGTATATGTGAGAATGCTTGAATGTCCTGTTTATCTATATGTATATGTAATGAAAAACTTGGAAAAATAAAACCATTACAAAAAAAAAGTCTTATGCAAGCGTACCGTCAAGTGTTCTGCCAAGACTTTTGCAAGCGTACGGGTCAGTGGTTTGTCAAGAGTTATGTAAGCATACCCGTAGGTGTTCTGCCAAGACTTATGTAAGCGTACGGGTCAGTGTTCTGTCAAGACTTATGTAAGCGTACCGGTAAGTGTTCTGTCAAGTCTTATGTAAGCGTGCCGGTAAGTGTTCTGTCAAGTCTTATGTAAGAGTGCCGGTAAGTGTTCTGTCAAGTCTTATGTAAGAGTGCCGGTAAGTGTTCTGTCAAGTCTTATGTAAGAGTGCCGGTAAGTGTTCTGTCAAGTCTTATGTAAGAGTGCCGGTAAGTGTTCTGTCAAGTCTTATGTAAGCGTACCGGGAAGTGTTCTGTCAAGTCTTATGTAAGCGAACCGGTAAGTGTTCTGTCAAGTCTTTTGTAAGCGAACTGGTAAGTGTTCTGTCAAGTCTTCTGTAAGCGTACCGGTAAGTGTTCTGACAAGTCTATTTGGAAACTTAAAACTAGAAAGATAAATATAATGTTCTCACACTAACAGTATCATTTATGTCATGCTGTACGCAAATTACTGTACTACAAATTTTCCCTGAGTGCAAAAACAGGAGCCGACTGAGAAACGGTCAAAAGGACAAGTAGATAGGAGAAAAACAAACATAGAGATCTAAGTGTTGCTATTAGGGCAGCAGATCAATTTTGGTTTCTCTAACTCCCCAAAGCATAAGACACAGGAGAAACCCCGACTCTGTAGGGAGCCTCAGATTAATCGCCTCTTACGAAAACACGTCTCTTGCATGGGACTTACAGTGTGGCAAGATGTAATTGAATTTCACAAAAAGCTAAAGAAATCTTATTTGTTGATCACGTCGAGAACGCATCGCGACCAACATCCTTGCCACAGTGACAACGGTATTGATTTCACCACGGCTACAGGTCTTATTTAATGGCACAGACCTCAAGATGGAGAAGATTCACAAACAACATTAGACTCTGGAGGCTGAAAATGTAAAGGTTTCTGAGGAAGGAAGGAATGTCAAGCAAGCAAAAAAATACATATGTAACATGAAAAAATTTGGACAAAGTTTAAAATCCTGTGATCAATAATTATAATGTAATTTCCACCTAAAGTAAGTCGGGAAAATAGCTGCAGATGTATTTGTGGTTCGTGGTCCTGTGTTTTGTTTCGTTCTGTGGTCTTCTCCTAGTTTTATTGCTTCTATTTTTGTCTCGCCTTGCTTTGATGTCCTCAATTGTTATGGTGTTTCCTTGGTTACTATTGTTATCTTCTCAATTGTTATGCTGTTTCCTTGGTTACTGTTTCTGTCTTCTCAACTGTAATGCTGTTTCCTTGGTTACTGTTGCTTTCTTCTCAATTGTTATGCTGTTTCCTTGGTTACTGTTGCTATCTTCTTCCTTAGTGACTGTTGTTGTCTTCTCAAATGTTATGGTGTTTCCTTGGTTACTGTTGCTGTCTTCTCAATTGTTCTGCTGTTTCCTTGGTTACTGTTGTTGTCTTCTCAATTGTAATGCTGTTTCCTAAGTGACTGTTGTTGTCTTCTCAATTGTTCTGCTGTTTCCTTGGTTACTGTTGCTGTCTTCTCAATTGTTAGGGTGTTTCCTTGGTTACTGTTGCTGTCTTCTCAAATGTTATGCTGTTTCCTAAGTGACTGTTGTTGTCTTCTCAATTGTTATGCTGTTTCCTAAGTGACTGTTGCTGTCTTCTCAGTTGAAATGCTGTTTCCTAAGTGACTGTTGTTGTCTTCTCAATTTTTATGCTGTTTCCTTGGTTACTGTTGCTGTTTTCAGAATTGTTATGGTGTTTCCTTGGTTA